TTAGTTTTATTGGCGGTCAGGTGTCCACTGGCTTTCGTTCACACATCCGCTCTCTCTCGCTTTCTCCTTCTCCTTCTCACTATCTTTCTCCTTCTTTTTTTTTCTCTTTCTAACTTGTCGTCTCGGTCTCTTCCTTTCCTTTTTCCAAGCGTGCACGCTCTCCTTCTTCCATCAGTGCTGCCACTTTATACTTTTTTTAAGAAAATGTACTTATTATACTTTTTTCATACATTTTTCATGCATAAATACTTTTAAATACTTTTTTTGCCAAAGGTGTGTCTGTCGTATGAAATTTTCTGTCAAAACTCTTCGGACATACATTTAGGTACGCTGTATTTGATGAGATGTGCTTTGTTAGTCTTGTTGCAGGAGTGATGTGTGCTCTCACAGGCACTTGAAGCGTTTCAATAAAATATAATGTTAAATAAATACGAAATCTTAACTAACTTTATTTACTACCAAATTCTTAATGTTTCTAAATTCTATACTCTCTTTCACCTATTATTGCGGACAGTTTCCTGTAAATTCCGTCCAAATCTCATGTGCAACATACGTTGGCGGCCGCCATTCCTCACGCGGCTGCACTGTGCACGCGTGCTGCGCGCTCTTTTGCATCTATAGCGCAGCCTCCCATTTATCATACCAGATCAGCGCTATCATCATCAGCTGTCAAATTTATCCCAGCTCAGGCGGCATAGACTCGATTCATCTTAGCTGTCGCAACGTTTGAAGTTATGCGCTGCGCTCGTGCGGCTGTTAGCAAAGCGACGTTAGCCTAGGGGGAGCAGTGTGGAGGGAGGGGGGGGGGGCTCGGCGAGAGATGGTCGTAGATGTTACTGTTAGTGATGTTGGAAGAGGTTATCTGTGGGAAGGGGGCTTGTAAATCGTATATACACGTCGTTATAAAGAGGGAACTGCGCTATGCACACATACACACGTATACACATGACATGACATATAGACGTGAAAATTTGCACAGGCATATAGACACAATACACCCGTGCACACACGTACGCGCGCATACACGGACATACGCGCACAACCACACGCACGCGCGCACGCACAGATCACGCACGCACACACGGACATGAGATTTTCTTACCGATTTGCCTGGTCAAATATTTGACAGCGACATCCACCCCACGTTCGATTCCCCTGACACCATCCTCAGCTTTAAATATTTCGCTGCCATCGCGTCGACTTCTGCCAATCCCCTCTCTCACCTTCTCCCGCTTTATCTTCTTGTTGCGCTCTTGCTTTCTTACTCTCTACTACCTATACCGCCTTCTCTCTCTTCCTCTAGCCCCCAATCTCGCTCTTGCTCTCGCTCTCTCTCTCTCCCTCTCTCTCTCTCTCTCTCTCTCTCTCTCTAGAGATAGTTTCGAATATGGTGGGCCGCGGCACTTATGCATATGATTATATACTGATAAGCTATAACCGATCTGTAAATATCAAAATATCAATAAATTATATATATTATAGATAATTGCTATAATTGATCTACATATGAAACGTTTATAATCCTAGATAGTGTGTAGAGTTGTGTTTTAGGCGATGCAAAGTCCGTTTAGATTTCCCAGCATTTCCTACCACGTGATCAGAAGCCGCTTGCTTCGCTTGTGGCTCTAGTGATGACAGAAAGCCGCGCCTGCAAAGCATCGCTTGCGGCGCTACCATCGCGTCCATTTTTGAGTTAGATTGGCGGGAGGCATCGGGTAGGGCAGTGCGGTGCGACATATGGCCAATAAATGGAGATTACCCGCTAGTCGCAAATTGTGTTCGAGAGAGAGGCTAACGAATGCCTACAGCTGTTTGTAGAACAGACAGGTGGGGGTAGGGTATGAGAGGAGTGATTGGGTAATAGGGACAATACTGGGGCGTAGGTGTGTAGAGCGAAAGGTTTAAGGTATACGAAAACAATAGCGGGGGTTAGGGCTTGTGGTATGGAAGCGTTGGAAGTAATATGCAAACAATACGTTAGTGCTTTGATTTGGGGATGGGGGTTAGATTAGCATAGGATAACAGTATTCTGATACGCTCGCTGCCACATATTCTTCTGGGCAGCGTGGCCTGGCAGAGTGTAGCATGGCATATTGGACGGAGGAATTTCTAACCAGCGTGTACTGGCCTAGGCACTGTACGTGGTGAGGTTTGTTTTCGTGTGCGTTTGCGTGGGGCGTGCAATGTATGTGAGCGTGTGTTGTTATGTGGTCGCGCGCAAGGTATACTGTAAGTATTGACTGGATATCACCTTGCGTTAGTCAGCGGTGTGCAACCTTCACGACCTTAAAATATAACTGGACGACGTGCGCTACGCTGCACTCCATCTTTGACGTATGTTGTGGTGTGTGTGTGTGGTGTTGTGTGTGTGGTGTGTGTGTGTGTGGCTGTGTGTGTGTGTGTGTGTGTGTGTGATGTGTGTGTGTGTGTGTGCTGTGTGTGTGTTTGGTGAACGGGAACCTTTTTTTAGATCGGTTGTTTCGCCTTTTTAGTTTTTGATAGTTTCGCCACGGAGCGTAATTTCACTTTTACGCCGTGGAGAGTTTTGTTGGCTCCGGAGGCTTCCAGGTATTCTAAGTAACGTTTAATCTGATCTAACCAATCCCATAACAATCTATGTTATCTTAGGCCAAGAGTGATGAGGGCATCACTGCCTTTCGCTCCAGCTGTGGCAGGGGTGACTCCACTTCTTGGATGCCTGTCCCACATGATCTTCCTTAGGTGTTTGTATGCCGGGCAACACTAACAGGAATATTGCTTCTAGGTGCTTCTGGCTTCTCGCCCTTATGCAACACAGTGCAATTTTCTTCCGGCCTATACCATCTCGGCTGGTAGTTTTATTTAGCGGGGCGGCATCCGCGCTCTACATTGGTAACAGCAGCTTACTCCGATTTTATTACTTATTGTAAAAGGTTTCTTGTTTACGGAAATGTTTTCCCTTAATAGCTCTAGTGTGACTTTTATTTTACATTCGCCATTTGCCTCGCATCTGATTGTGGCTGCCTTTTATAATGATTTTCTCCACCGGTATTGTTCTATGATTTCGCTGGTTTGCCTAGTCTCGTATTTATGGCAATAAACTGTTCTTCGTGCATACTTTCGGCGGCCCGGGCGGAATTTTCTCATCTATTCCAATGCCGACGTAAAAATTTAAAGCGGTAGTGATGGCGGGGCAGTTGCAAGACAGTCGCGCCAATGCCGCCCTGGGGAGCAGATAGCCGCCTGGTAGGGACTATAGCAAAATGTTTATAAGCTGGAGAGAGCTGCTGGCTGCTGGCTTGCTGTTGCCTGCTGGCTGCCTGCTGTTGTTGCAGCTGTTGCTGGTTGCTGCGTTATGGCTGCTGGTGTGTTCCGTTCTTTGCCGTTTTGCCCCTGCTGATTCTTCGTTATTGGTGCGCTGTTTTGTGCCTTACTTACTTTGTTTTGCTGGCTGCCTGCTGCTGCTGCTTGCCAGCGACTGTGCCCGATTTAAATCATGATATGGCGATGTCGGAATTTATGAGTATAGTTCAATAAAAAGAAGGGGCCTAGAACTCGGCTACGGCGAACACGATGTGAAAATGAAATGGTCTGCGGGGTATATATTGATCCGCGCACGTATAAGGCCAGGCAACGACGGCGCGCGTGATCTGAAATACGCGGTCGTGGCGTTGTTATTGTGGGCATGGCACCGAGGCGCTGCTGTCTAGCATAGCATATACACACAGTTTAGTCATAAACTTCATCATATGCTTTCGCCCCTCATCTGCTTTTCTCGATTTTCGCAGGTCCCTCCGTCCACTTTTTTTTTTCAATTCTAATCGGCCTCCTCGTCTCATCGCCCGACGCCTCTGTCTGCCCGCATCTCTCTCCCATGCTTCCCTCCCTCTCTCTCTCTCTGGTCTCCAATCTGCTCTCTATCTGCCATGCTCTGCTCCTGCCCCTCCCACTTCTCGCTGGTGATTGGCGTGCTGCCGGCTAGCCATCTAGCCTGACTGCTGCATATTGTAATTAGAATTGTGATCGGCTGACGAGGCTCTCCCGCGATGTCCTAGGGCGAGAGTTGGGCGATTGCGTTACGAAGTGCGGCTGATGGTGTAGGGCAAGCTGTAGGAGAAGAGCATGGTAGCATTGTTTAATCATCATTAAAATCAATCATGCATCGTGTCGTCGTATACCATCATCGTCGTTATCAATCGTGATCATCATCGTCATCATCATCGTCATCATCAT